GGTAAAGGCTTGATAACATGTATTATGTAGTTCCAAAGAAAATATCGAATAACTTCCAAATTTGGAACATTATCAGAATTGATATTTGAAAATAACTGTGTCATACAGTAAGAATGATGTACACGTTCATGTACTTTTTCCTATTAGACATGCATGTAAATAATTGATTTAGGCTACCAGACTAATAACACGTTGATTACAAAGAAATGCACTTTGTTCTATAGTCTTTGCAATAAAAGGCACTTTGCACAACAAGGTGACTTTGGCCTTTTAAATTGTCCAATCTACCCTCAAATAACATATCTAATTACTCATTCTTAACTAGTTTTAACCTTTTGTAACTAGAAGTTTTTATTTCAGTTTGTGTAAAAAGATTTATTTTATGAGATCGACTTTTCAATTACTTTTTTGTACAAACCCTAGATTTTACAAATCTGGAGAAAATCAATTGTCGACTACATCTCCGTCACGTTTTCAACCTTCGATTTTGGGATCTCCGTTGTCCGCCGTTGGTGATTTCGGCATCTCCGTCGTCGGTCATCGGTGCCGGAGTCATGGGTCGCGTTGCGTTAAGCTAAATCGTCGAGGAAGAAAAGTGTCAACCTTCAACGCTGGTGGCGCATGGGTTAAACAACGCATAGGTTAAGCGGTAGCGCGTGAACAATTGGTGTTAATCCTCAACACTGCCTCAATGTTCGACACCGTGTCGAGCTTTTGTGATCTTTCCAATTAGGTGGATCTTTCCAATTAGGTGGCGTTGAGAGAAGATCTGTTATAGCGTCGATCGTCTCTGTTTCTAGTTTTTCATTGGTTTTTTTCAATATGATTGTACTTAGGGGGGTTTGGTTGATTTGAACCAACATGGAAGAAGAAGTGGATACGACCAATGATACATAGCCATTGAGTTACATGAGGTCAAGGAGATTCTAATCGAAGAAATCCCGCAAAGCCTCATGTAAAAGAAGAGAGCAACCCTTGATGATTTGTGGACAAGAGAAGCTGGTGATTTTTGATGATGTTAAGACAAAAAAGCTTTGTTTCAAATTGGATGGAGAAAATTTGTATCTAAGATCCAATATCCACAACAATATATGTAACGCCCGTGAACCAAAATGTGTATTTTTGGTGTTGCGTCGAGCGACGCAGGGGAGGTGCGTCGAGCGACGCAAATCGTTAATCAGACCGGGAAGTCGGGTTTGATCGCACGGTTTGCGTGTTGGTTAGGGTAACCCTAGGTTTCGATATAAAAGGCAGAAACAGTGTTCTGGCCGCTTTTGAGGAAAAGAATCAGAGAGAAAGGGTTGAGAGAGGAGTTAGGTGATTGTGTGAGAGGGTCAGCTTCTGTTTGGAAGTTTGAGAGGGCAAACGGCTGGGCTATTCGAGGTGGATTAGAGCGATTTTTTGTGGGTAGGTTCTCCAATCTCTGCTCGTGATATAGACGAAAACAGTTCGTCTTTTGGTTAATTTTTCACCGAGTTATGGCTGTTTGAATTTGATGGGTCTGTGCAGATTGTTATCTACGATCATTCGGGTTCAGAGGGGACTTTCGATTGAACCAGAGGGAGTCTGGAGGCGATCCACTTACCGACGCGTAGCTGGGTGTGTCTAGTTTCCAGAACAGTTGCCTGTTTTGGAATTGGACCAGTGGTTCGTCG